GAGCATGGACACTAGGTTTTATCTTTCTCTTATCCTGCAAAGTAATCTTGGACCTCCACACAAGCACTGTGATACATTTGGGTATGTGCACACTAATACACACATACTTGCACATGCACTAGCTTGCACACACATGTTCACACTTTACACATATACACAAGTAGATTAATGTAAAAAAAAAACAATAAAGGTATTTTCAGTTAAAAATCAAGGTAATTAGTGATCACTTACCTTATAAAAAAGATTAAAATTCTTTTTTTAATGAACATTTTTTTATTCATTTTACATACCAAGAGATCCCCCTCTTCCCTCCTCCTGCCCTTCCAGCCTCCCCTTCCCAACCACCCCCAATTCCCTCTACAAGAAGGTAAGGACTCCCATGGGGAGGTACATTTAGTAGAGGCAAGTCCAAGTCCCTCCCCCTGTCTCAAGGCTGTGTGAGGTGTCCCATCATGAAAGAAGAAAATTTATATGTAAGAATCTTTTGAGATATATAGAGGGAGAAAGGTTAGAAAACTACAACCTTTGACACCACCCTAGTCAGAAATCATCTACTTTGCATCACTATCCTGCTTTTCTCCTGGCCAAAGGGCACACAGAGGGATTTCCAGTCAATAAATGGCTCAGTTGGAGCTGCCATGCACTTTAAGGGAACAAGCTCTTGAAAGCAGTGGGCAAAGGAATAAAGATCCGCTTCAAATAGTGTTCTACCAGTTTTCAAAAAAAAAAAAATAAATTACACGAAAATCTTGTATGTTTAACATGGTTTTCAAAAAGAACACTCAATTGTAACATAAAGAGGCCTTTCCCTTGTAGAATGCATTTTCACGGAAATAAGGAAGAGTTTGCCTGGGTAGTGACAATGGAGAAAAACTGGTGGGCTGACCAACCCAACTACCACCCAGGCCAAGAACCAGGGCTATGAGTTGGCCTACCCCTACATCCCACAGATCCACTGAATCTGTGAACTGTTGGAGCATGTGAAGGGGATGAACCTACAGATCCAAAGCTGTAAGACCTCTATGACACAAAGCAACAGCAGGATATCCAAAAGGAGCCCCAGGGAGCCCATTATCGGTGGTGTAGTAGAAACTAGAGGTCTGGAGCCAGACCAATGACTCCTGGTAATGAACACTTGCAAGAAAAGATGAACAGACTAGAGGGTAAATTCTGGGTCTTAACATTACAGCTTCTAAAACAAGATTCTTGCACTTTTTTGTTGTTGTTTTGTTTTTGGTTTTTCTTTTAAATTTGTTTTTGATTTGGGAGAGAATTTGCAAGTGCAGAGGGTGGGTGTGAGGGGACAGCGAGATAAGTCGGATCTGAATGTATGATGTGAAATCACAAAGAAAAAAAGTTACTAAAAAAAAGAATGCCTAGGGATGTGGAAAGAGAAAGAGGAAAGAGGAGCATATAAAAGAAGGAGCAATGCAAGAGATAATATAAAAATTTGAAAGTCAAAAAAACAAAGAGGAAAACAAACACAATCATATTTTCTCTCCATATATCTCAACTTTCCCTTTTTCCTTCCTAAAAAAATTGCTTCAAGATACAATGATTTGAATAACTGTCCTCTAGACTTATGTTGTTGGTAACTTCAATCCATGAACTTTTACGGAACTGTTATTAGAACAATATCTCATATCTATTTTGGTTTTAAGGCATATATATGTATATATATACATACATATATATGATGTGTTATACAGATGTGCTGAATGAACTAGTTGAAATGTAAAGTCCATAGATACTATGAGATTTGAGGTAACAAGAATGAGTACTCATACCTTTTTGACAAACACACTTCGAAAATCTAATAATCAGCATGCTATTTTTCAAGTAGTTCATATGCAGTGCAGAAATACATCCATAACTTTATATTTCACTCAGATTTAAGAAAATATCCACTCTTACTTCCAGCTTACTTGTTTAATATAGCACTGCAATGATTACATATTATTTTTAGTGCTAATAAAATTGGCTTATGATGCAAAGGTAATTCTAGATTAAAACAAAAACAAGCAACCTGTATAATACCAAGTGTTCCAGTTTTTACTTATTCAAAATATGTAGTTATTGCAATGTCAATCAATCATAATAATATGATTTTTGAGGTCCTTACATTCCTTAAATATTCCATCCCCACAATAATCTATGGTAATGTATACTATTAATGCTTTCTACTCTTTGTTTGTATGGAGATTAACCTCTCATAGCTATAAAATATAATATATGGGATAATGAGATGCCTCAGCTAGCAAAGGTGCTTGTTGCCAAGCATAGGGACTCAGTTTGATCATTGGAATTTACATAGTGGAATGAGATAACAATAACCGTATGTTGTTCTTTGTTGTCCATAAGTCAGCCATGAAACACACACACACACACACACACACACACACACACACACACACATACACACACACAGATGCAATAAAATGTCACTGGAGCACTACAATTAGTGAAATATATATTTGCAAAATTTATCTATTCATTCACTAAACTGAATGCAACTTTTTGAAGTGTAAAATACTATAACTGAAATTAACATGCTGGACATTTACAACACCACCACATACGTTGTGGAGTTTCTTGGAGTAAAACATTAAAATAGCAGCTTGGAAAATAGTAAAACTTCACATTAACTTTTAAAGAAAGAAATTATCAATAAAGTTCTTATTTTCAGAGTTCAACAAATATATAGTTTTAGAAGATAACACTGCATTATAAAATGATTCAAAATGCAGTAGTAAGGTGTTAGGTTTTGATGTTATTATACAAATGCAGATGTCACAGTAACTTAACAAAACTATTGGTAGATGTTTCATTATCTCTTCTAACACATTCAGTTTTTGACTCTTCATGGTAAACAATAATACTAGAAAACTGTGATATCTAACTTATAAACCATAGGCCCATATACCCAGTTTAATTAGAATTTATAACTACAAATGTCTTATAAATGGCATTAACTACTAGGCTCACTTGCAGCTGTTATTTAGATATGAAAACACAAGTTGTTATTTTTCTATCTACTAACTAACTTGGTTAATTTGGAGTCAGTTTGACCAGGATTTAAAAAAAAATGAGAAAACTTTCTCCTGTGTATATGAGGATGTTTTCTGGAAGAGGTTAATATTTGAATGAGTGAAAAGACCCCCTTTTCTGAAAGTGGGAGCCCCACAAAGCACAGAACTAGAAGGATGAATTCACGGGCTAGGATAAGCTTGGATGGTTGTATTTCTTCCTCCATCCTCAGTCACTGTGTCTCATGGAACCTTTTGACTTGACAGCTTATATGGATGAATATTTTCTCAGGCATTGTATTTAGAAGTTTGACTTGAGAGTGAGACATTGTCTCCTTGGATTATCCGGCTTTTAGAAGTGAATTCCACTGCTGCCTTTCTTATACTACATTCATATAATTTTGACTCCTGGAGCTCCACCTGGGGCCTAGCCGGGGATCTCTGCATCCAGTTCCCTCAGTTATTGGATGAGGTTTTTAGCATGATAATTAGGGTGTTGGTCTGGTGATAGGCTATCCTATCACCAGAGTAGGTCAGTTTGGGCTTTCTCTCAGCCATTGCCAGTAGTCTATTGTGGAGGTATCTTTGTGGATTTCTGTGGACCTCTCTAGCACTTTGCTTCTTCCTATTCTCATGAGGTCTTCATTTATCATGGTCTCTTATTCCTTGTTCTCCCTCTCTGTTCTTGATCCAGATTGAAAACTTAAGCACAATAGCATTTTGCAATTTCAAGCATAAATTAGTATTTTATGGAAATATTGTTATGAGATTATATGTTATATAATTATCAGTTTATACAGTGAATTTTAGATTATTAGTAAGAAATCTAACTCAATAAACTCACATTTATTAATGAATTTTATGGATATAAAATAATAAATATAAACTCATAATATCTAAATTTTTTTTTCAGAAACTTGTGGTGACAATTCTATTAGAATAAAATGAAAACTTTAACTATGAAATTACAAATTGATTATAAAACAAATGACAAGAGCCGATTGAAAAAAGACTTACTCTGCATAATTCTTTTAGTTTTAAGAGCAAGAGTTTAGTAACATTAGATATAATGTATCTATTTCTGTGAAATATGCTAGACACAAAAATACATCCCAAGGTAAATTTTTACTATTAGATTCATATTTAAAGTTATAATGATAGAAGAAATGTAAAACATTATCAGTAAAGAACTGTTGAGTAAGAACATTTGTAGGAGAAAAAGAAAAGTAATTAAACTGTTGAAAACATTTAGCTGTATCTATTACTTAATTTTATGTTTGAACAATTAAAGAATCAGAGTAGAAACCTTCACAAAGAATCCTTTTAGTTGAGCGAAATATAAATATGAAGCAGAAATACACTGGAATGTAGATATTAAATAAAACAAACAAACATAAAAAACTCAATAATAGCCACAGCTAAAATATCAAACCTAACAAAGGATATACTTTTATTGATTACACAGGTGAATAGCATTAAGAAGTAACTTTCAAGATTACAGTAAGGTAATAACGACGTATCACCTTGCCAAGTTCCAAAACACTTCTGTAGAAGCTAGTATTTTCTATCAAATGTATATTGCTAGTATTTGTTCACTGTAATTATGATATATTTTATGTATGCAATGATATCTTTTAAATTACCATATTTAACCTGTATATGGAACAAATAAATACATCATGGAATTAAACAATTACACATAAATTTATTTTAAGGAAAATGGTTATGTGCATACATATCTAAGTACTATGCTTAAAATGTAATATTAAAGAACAATTATTAATTTAAATAAAAACAAGAGTATTTATGTACTGTTCCCATTTATTACCCATTGAATTAGACTTTAATCTTTTCTGTATGAGTTAAGTTATATGCAAAAATTCACACAAATCTGTGGTTCCTTTAACTTTCATAGAAAATCCTACAAACACAAGATAAATGGCAACTTGAAACTTTAATGATATTTAAACTTACCCCGTTTAATGGATATGTTTTCCATCCTAGCTCTCCCATCACCGTGGTTGTATCAAGCAACACAACTAGAATTAAACAGAAAAAATATAATGAGTTTCTCAACTAATATAAAAATATATCAACATTAGTTACATCATGAATATCAAATGTTCTTACTGTTTACTCATCACAGTATCTTTAAGAGCAGTGCTTCTTTGAAATTACTTATATTGGCCTCTTATAATACTTTATGATAAGAAAAAAGCATGAATTAATGCAAAAATATTGCAACATGTATTTGGCTTAATAATCCTAAATGACACTGATGACTGAATAACAATTACAAGGTCATTTTTAATACACCAGATTTTTCAATTTAATGAAATAGCCCACATTGTTTATTCACTAGCTTTCAATCATAGTATATTAGAGAAAAGCTGTATTAACACAGGCCTCTGTGCATTGTTGTTGCTATTAAATGCTTACATAAAAATCAGCAAAAAAATGAAGATGATCTTTTTAATAAACCACAGCCTTCAAAGCATAAGATACTTAAGTACTAGGTAGTATACCAATTGTTGATTGAAGAAAAAAAACAAAATTTAAAACTATGAATTTTTTCCTGTAACCAAAAGTCACTCACAATCTGGAAAACGAAAATAAGCCCCCAAAACAATCCCTCCCAAAATAAACCTTGGTTGAAAGACGAGGTAAGGAACTGAGCCGAGAGTTCTCTAAAGAGGAAGCATTCAGTAGATGTAGCAAATAGGGAAATGGAGATGAAAACTGCTTTACATCTGCATCTCACAGCAGTTAATCATCATTCACACAGATGACCACAAACACTAGTTGGAAGTGGTAAAGCTCAGGTCCTATACATTGTTGGTGTGCACAGTACAAGCGATCTGTTATAGAAATGGGAAAAGGAGGTTCTTTCAGCAAAGGGAATGAGGTAAATACTGAAGACAGGGGAGAGGAGGAAAAATAATACTAAGGATGTTTCAAAACCATCAGGAGTTATACTACTAACTATCTGATAGAACCTATAATACATACAATTCTATGTATAAATATAACTATATTATTTGAATGAACTTTCCCCATCTGGGCTTAGATACCACCAAAAGACAAAGACCATTTAACAAAAACCTCACAACCAGACATAAAAAGTCTTCTTTTAAATTGTTGGTCAAAACTGTCCAATGGACTCCCCAAACATACAGCTTATTGCTATTGCCCTTGGTTGCCCCTCCACAGGTTGAAGGCAAGTCCCTATTACTGAAGACATCATGCATTTCAGACACAGAGCCCAGAGGACCCTGAGCAGTAACTGACCTAAATGCCCCTCCCTGACGACTAGTTTTTATAGTACCAGAGATGCCATACAAATTTCCAAGCTTTGGGGGCAACCAACAACCTTACCCAGCTATGACACCTACAGACCACAACCACCATAACACAATGATCATAAGGGGACAGTCGTCATGCTTGGTAGTAACCAATTGCTCTCTAATTGGAGTTAAGACCTGCTCAACAAGGTTGAAATTGTGTCCGGCACTGAAAACCTAGCCATTTGCTCAGTGCTACTGAAATCATGGATGGTGGCGTAGAATCAACAACTGCCATTACTAAACCAGCATAATACATAACAACAATCTAAATATGTGTCTTTATACCTTCACAACTCAGCAAATAAACTTCTATTTGCACTAGTTGCAGACCATTACAGAAAACCACAAACAATCAAAATGTAGAGCTGTGGAGCAAAATGGATATATCTACAAAACAACTCCTGTACCCAAGGCCCAGGGAATATTGTAGAAAAGGGGACAGGGAGATTATAACATCCAGAGGATCAGGGAGTATTCTGTGAAATTGTGTTATCTAGTAATGTCAGAAGCTACACCTATAAAGGTTCATCAACAGGTTTGTCTGAACATACACTGAGCAGGAGATCTACCTGCTTTTGCTTCCTAAGTACTGATATTAACACCAATTAACATGCCAATTTGGACCCGAGAAAGCCGATAGAACTCAACCTTACACAAAGTACTACAGGCATCTAAGGGATTCTGAGAGTGAGAGAAACAGTCTTTCCCAGGGAAGAGCACACCAATGGGTTCCCCAATATCAAATGGTCAGCTATGAAAACATACATGAGTAATATTATATAGATTCAGCAGGTTATATTTAGGAATATGTATGCATACACACACACATATATATACTATATATATATGTATATATATATTGTATACATATAGGCATGGAATAAAGTCAGTGGAAAAAAAGAGGACATGAATTTGATGGAGAGAAGAGGGGTACATGAGAAGGTTTGAAGACACATATATAAATACACATATGTATATATACTTATATGCATGTACATATTCAAGTATTACATTTCTCACCCCAGATATCAACTGGCCACAGGCTACACTCTGAAAAATATTATTATGTTGCAGTTATTATTATTTCATATGACATCTTATTTTTCCATTTATTGTAAGTATTTTGTGGCTCCACTTAGCTCATTCTTTTTTATATACAATGTATTGATAATTTTAAAAAGTGAAACTATCTTCAACTTTTTAAATAAACTTTATTTCTGCACAATATTAATTCATTACTCTTATGATCTATTTACTAAACATATATTTATAAAAACAACAATAAAACATTATTTTTATTGTGACAATTTTTCTTTTATTTTTTCTCATACTTTCTTTCTCTCTATCTCTTTCTTTCTTTCCTTTTTGTTTTTTGAGACAGGATTTCTCTGTGTAGTCCTGGCTGTCCTGAAACTCACTTTGTAGACCCCACTGGTTTCAAACTCATGGAGATCTACCTGCTTTTGCTTCCTAAGTACTGATATTAAAAACATGCATTACCACCTCGTGCCTGTGACAGCTTTTCAAATGATAATTAAAGAGAAAATTAAACCATCATATACTCACCCCCCAAATTTATTGATTGCTAATTTAAGGCTAACTGTGTTTTAACTGCACTTGCTTACTCACTCTCTCATTGCACATACAGCAACATGGGCAAACCACCCATTATTCTTCTTAATTTATATGAATTGAATGTGTTTTATTTGTCATTAAATTCATCTTCCTATAATGCCCATTTATATGAATTGTGACTACCCACCTCCCATTCAATGTACGATGGCTACAATCAAGATAGAGGGTATTTTCATTGTCCTCACAATATTCCTTGTGACCCTGTGTAATGAATCTCTTTCCTCTTCTGTCCTCTGGCATTTACTCTCGGATTTCTGTCTCTATAATTTTAACCTTTCCAGTGTATAACTGTGGATATCACATGGTATCTACACATTTGAGCTTGTTTTTCCTACTTGGCATCATGGCGTTGGCCCTCATCTTTGATACTGCATAAGCCAATATTCTATTTCTTTTCATGGCTAATAACTAACTCTTCTACTCTACAGAATCCATACCTAATGGACATATTGACTTTTTACAGTTGAGGACATTATTAAGCCAGATTAATTTTCATGTAATTTCAGTTTCTCAGGGGAAAAGTAGGATTTCTAGTTAAAAGTAAAGTTGTACATCTCCATTGACAAGTTCAACTGGTTTCTAGCTGCTCCCCATGCCGGGTCCTGGCATTGCCTTGTTTCTCTAAGTCATTCTGACTTGTGTGTCTTTCCACTCTTGTCGTCTGCATGGGCATTCCCAATAATGATGAAAAAATATCTTTTTCACTACTTCAGAATGCTTATCTAGCATGAAAGATACTGTTTTCTATATGCTAAATTTTCCTGATTTTTATTTATCTACCGATGGATTGGTATACTCCATGTATTTTTTTTTCCCTTAGTGTTGGTTTCAATTTTGATACATGGTTCCTGTAAGTTGTCCAGTCTGGCTTTGAGTTCACTGTATAGGACAGAAAGATGTTAAACTTGCCTCTCTTTTGCCTCAGCATCCCAAGCATCTGGCATAACAGTCTGAGTAATAAGACTTAGCTTCATTTATGTGTTTGTTGCTCAATTGTTCATTCATTCATTCATTTTTTTTCTGCCAGACCTATTGCTAGTTTATCATAGTACTAATGTCACAGCACAGAAAACATATCATAGTCTACTAGGGAAATAACAAAAGGAATAACAAATCAATTAGCATAGGTCATATTGGCAAAATAAATAATCTTACCATACATAAGGGTAAATTGAAACACTCCAGGTACAATTAAATTCCTGCCTTTATAGTAACATATCTTGTGAGGACTTTTGCAGAACGGTAGCAAAGCATTATGTTTAAAACTGTTCCATACATTGAATATAATAAAATGTTAATTTTGCATTTTCTGTAGGAACTACTTCTGCTAAACAAAATAGCTTCTGAAAGGACATTTCTCTTGTTGAAATATTTTAGTTAATAAATTCAGAAGAAATGACCAGATTAGGATGCACTATTTGCTATTGCTAATGAATTAATATATTTAGCTAATGGTTTTCCCTGGCTGCTCATGTCGGAAAAAGAAATAAAATGGGACATAAAAGGCTGGAACTTCTAAAACACTTTCTTTATAGTTTAATTTACTCTATCTCACCATACGGTTCTAACAAGCTTGGGAGCAACGACAACCAAAAATTAGTATGTACAGTAAAACACACACGCGCACACACACACACAAATGGCTTGCTTTATTCAATGCAAGATATCTCACAATTTAAAGAAAAAACACAACATAGCAGTACGACACTTAAAACTATAATTTAATCCTGCTATTAAATAAAATTTATTTTATTTGGGAAATAAATTAATGTAGAATGTAGAAATATGTAATTCCCATGTCGACATTAGGTCACTGAAGATTATGCTGTTACTTATCTAGAACTTTTATGCTTTGGAAATATTTTGTTATTTCCCTAATAGGTGGCAGGATTAGCAATTAATTCACATCAGTTGAAGCGAGGACATGGTGGTCTCTTCTTCCAATAATCTCCAAAATATCTTAAGCATCTTTATGAAATTAGTACTTCAAAGGACATCTCATGTCTATTGTAGCAAGCTTTATAGTTGCTGAGAAATGGAAAGAAGAAACAAAGAAAATA